TAGTAAACACTGTAACAGTTAAACATCTTTTGGGCACTTACCGTGTTAGATACTGTGCGAAATGAGTTATATTCATGATCTCAATCTCACAATGACCCCATGAGAGAAAAAAAAGGCACAGGAAGATAACCTGTTGAAGGTTAAATCTAGGAAAAGGGTGCATGGGAATACAGTTCAGCAACCATGAATCTTCACTGCCTGGACCAGTTCTAAGCCTAAGATACTTAGTTGTGTTGCTTAACCTTCACGTAGCCCAATTTCCTTTACTTTAAACTCAAAAAGTCAGACCATTTCAAAGGTCCTTGAAGGTCTAATTTTAGAACATGGTCTAATTTTGTAACTAGATGAAAAAGAAATTGTCTAATTGAGAGTCCACATTTCATGAATCTAAACAATAGAATACTGTTGAAGAATAAAAACAAGCAGCCTTTCTTAAATGTTATAACCCTATTTGGCAATTATGATTCTTAGATTCAACTCTTAACCTCAAATGACAATGACAGAGGGAAAGACCTTACAACAACTTTGGCTCAGGGTGAGAGGTGTGAAAGAACAGACAAATCACTGTGTACAGGTGGTTATTAATTCATAAAAATATATCGCCCATTTCCACCTCCTCTAAAAAAATATCAAGTCAGTCTTTAAAAGGTTACCATATAAACTCACTGCTTTATTCAGCCCCCCAAAATTAATGATTATGTCACTTATACACAACATTATAGGCATGAAGAATCACCAATTACATTTACAGAAATCCTGCCAAAATGGCCCCATTTTTTACAATCTACATTTTACCAAGTTAGTCATCTAGCCCTTCAAATTACACCTAAGGACAGTGACAAGACATTTAAACATAAAGGAAGAGGCATAGGCTCCACTCAACACCATCCTGTTAAGTCCTCTAGGGCCAAATCACTTTAAAGAATAATCTTCGCTGCCTTTGTTCTCCATAAAATAATACTCCAAAGATTCTTAAATAAAATTAGCAAAACCCCTCTATTAATTTTCTATTGTTTCCATATTACCACAAACATAAAACAACACAAATTTATTATCTCAGTTTCTATAGCCCAGAAGTCAGGTGGGCTTGGCTGGGTCTTCTGCTTAGGGTTTTTGCAAGGTCAAAGATCAAGGTGTCCACAAGGCTGTGCCCCTTGCTGGAAATTCTGGGGGGAAATCTGCTTCCATGCTCATATTACTGGTTGAGTTTCGTTCCTTGCAGTTGTACAACTGAGGTCCCATTCCCTTGCTGGCTGTCAACTTGGTCTGCCCCCATCCCTTTTCTCATGCTTTCCAAGTGGCCCCCTCTGGTAATGGCAGGTTGAGTCCCTTTTATAAAAGCTTCAAATCTCTCTAACTCCAGCTGGACAATGTTCTCTGCTTCCACATGATTCAATTGGGCCCACCCAGAAAATCCAGGATAATCTTCCTATTTTAGGATCCTTAAACCATAATTACATCTGCAAAGTCCCTTTTGCTGCATTACATTAACATAATTCAGATTCCAGGGATTAGGGTACAGACATCTTTGGGAGTTAGGGGTCATTCTACCTACACAGCCCACCCCCTGGCCTCCAAAGATTTCTACTCTCCCAAATGCAATATTTATCATTCCATCCTAAGGTCTCATTCCATGACAGCATCAACTCAAAATCCAAAAATCTCATCTAAAGCTCATCACTCCAGAATTCCCAAATCTCATCCTCTAAATCAGGAGTGGATGAAGCTCTGAGTTTAATACATTAGTTCCTGGGGCACAATTCCTAACAAAACAAGTTATCTGCTCCCAACACACAGTGGAGGGCCAGGCATAGGGCAACAGTTAACAAACATTCCAGTTCAAGTGGAGAAAATGGAAGAGAAAACAGATCTATCGGTCCAAAGCAGTTTCAAAATCTGGACAAATTCCATTCCATTTCAAAGCCAGGGAAAAATCCTCTGTGGCTTTCAGCTCCACCTCTCTGGGCTCTTAGTTCCACCCTCTGAGTCACCCCTTTTTAAATGAAAAGCAGCACATTCACATCAGAGTAGCTTTACCAGACTGCCCCTCCTGAGAACTTGGGGGTTTTGACAGACTCTAACTTCCTACTTTGTCTCTTTCAGTCCAAGCTGGCACTATTTCTGCTGCTTTAAAGTCCTCAAGGATCTAGTGAGACTAACATGAACAAACCAGACAGCACTTTTGACACTTAACCTGGAAATTTCCTCAGCTAAATATTCAAGTTAATCACTTCTAAGTTCTCTTTTCCACATAACCACAGCTTACAATTCTGAACTTGCCATTATGTAACAAAGATCTTTACTTCAGTTTTCAATGTATACCTCAGTTCCACCTGAGCTCTCACTAGCCCAGTCATTAACATCCATATTTTGCTAGCCAAATCATTAACATACATATTTTGCTAACAATCTATTCTAGGCCTTTTCGATCATGCTCCTCAAAATTTTTCTGGCCTCCACTTACTGCCACTTCCACATTTTTTAGCTAAAAGAACACCATTTCAGGTACTACCATCTGTATTACTGTTCTATTGCTGCCATAACAATGACCACAGATACAGTAGCTTTAAACAAATTCATTATCTCACAGCTTCCGAAAGTCAGAAGTTGGGTGGGTCTGTCTAGGTTTTCTACTTAGGGTCTCACGAGGTCAAACTCAGGACACATTTCTTGCTGGAAACTCTCGGGAAGAATCCACTTTCAGGCTCATTCAGGCTGTTGGCCAAATTTAGTTTCTCAAGGTTGTCTCCATTTCTTTGCTTCTGTAAGCTGGGGCTGGTCTTTGCTACCTGAGGCTGCCTGCCTCCTCCTCCTGTTTTCCACGTAGCCCCTGCTAGTAATGTCAACTGGAGCCCCTCTCATGATTTAAATCTCTGACTCTCAGGTGGATAAAGGTCTGCAAGAGCTCAAGTTATTACACTGGGCTTACCCTCAAAATCCAGGATAATCTTCCTATTTTAAGATTCTTAACCCTAATTACACCTGCAAAGTCCCTTTCACCATGTAAGGTATCTGCAGGTTCTGAAGATTAGATTATGGACATCTTTGGGGGCAAGGGGAAAGGGTGCAGGGTCATTCTGCCTCTACAAATTCAAACCCTATGTAAAGCTTTAAACTCAGTTCCTAAAAAATATATATACATATCCTCTATCTCCAAAAGAGTATGTGAAATAAAGGTGTATGTGATCAGAGATAGAAGCAACAGTAAAATCAAGGACTTACCCTGGAAGTGTGGCTAGGCAACAAAACTAAAAATACATTGTGGAAGCTGCCACTTGTTTCATCCCTAAACAGCAAGGCAATTAATCCATTATGCACAAACTAGCCCACTGCTCCCCCTTAAATGTGTGCTTCTCTTCTCTACTGTATTCCATACAAGAGGACAAAACTAGGCTCTTTAAAAAAGCAAACAATGTCGCCCCAGGGTGATCTAACTTTGTAATCAATCTAAGCAAACTTCGAAATCTTTTCATTCTTTCTACAAGTCATCTCCCTTCCCCCAACAACAAATGAAAGTCAAGTACTTCAAAATCACAGAAGGACAAACCTAACCTAGGTAATACTGCAAGTGGTGTATTGGTTGTCAGGGAGAACTAGTATTGGTTCCAGTCTTTCAGACCAAGGTCCACCAGCCCAGTAAAGCCAATGGACTCACAACAAAACAAACACACTGCCAACAACTACAAAGACAATATACTGAAGCCTTGCCTACTATCAGATTCTTGACCATAAATTTTACCTAGAATGGAGGAACCCCAAACATACCAGTTAGTCCCTTTAGTAATAGTAACAGGTAAGGAGCACTTACTACCTCCCAGGAACTGTGGTAAACAAACACATATTACCTTATTTGCTCCTCACCATAAACTTATGTCTAGGAAATATTATCACCCCCACTTTACAGATAGGAAAACTGAGGTTTACACAGGTTAGGTCACACAGTTAAGTAAAGTGGCATGATTATTGGAGAACCCAGGCAGTCTGTTTCTTTATCACTGGCTTATACTACCACTCCTTAGATGGAATAAGGTCTCCCAACTCTTAGAAAAACCATCCCTTTACAGTTTCTTTCAATTTCCTCTCCTCATGACCCCTTCTCATACAAGTTAGCGGTTGAAAGGTAACCAAGTCTTCCCAAATCAACCCGCCACCTCCTCTTCAGAACTCTTGCTTTCCCACAAAAGCAACAGCCAAGAAGCAACATCTCCTGACCCTGTCTTTGCTTTCCAAAAACAAACTACAGAAGCTCCACCCATCACCTGCCTAGGCTAGAAATGCTCCAACGCAGCAAAAAAAACAAAACAAAACAAAAAAACAAAATAAAAGTCCCACTCTCTCAAAGGTCACAAACTAACCTGTACACTCTTAAAATATCTCCTACATATCTCTTCCTTTCCACCCAGGCTCCCAAGTAACCCTTAACTCCCAGCTACATCCGTTCTGCCCCACTTCGTGTTCTCTCTTCTCCTCAGCGACCTAACCCGAGGCTACCTCCACCTGGCATTCCAGTCTGCAGGTGGGAAGCCCAGCGTCGCCCAGAGACCCTTAGAAGGTCCCCACTCCAGCCGCTCCGCTCCGCCGGAGTTACCCCACCCTACCCAGCAGGCACCACTCCCCTAGGCACCCTCCCCCACTATCCCCCTGCGGCCCCACCCCTCAAGCTCCCTTCTCCCTCTGGCGACCCCCGCCACCAAGTTGCCCCCTAGTCCCCGCCCCAGTCCAGCCCTCTTCCCCGCAATAAGCTGACTCCCGAGAGCCAGTTCCCATTCTCTTATCAGCCTCAGTTCCCCAAGGCCGCACTCCCCGCCCCGGGGGGGTGGTCCCGGGCCTCCCCGAAGGGCTGCAGGGGCCTCGGCTGGTGTGTGTGCAGGAGGGGGGCAGGGGAAGGCGACAGGCCGCTCGGGAGTCTGCTAGAAGCCTGAGGGGCGGCCGCGTCCCGCTGCCCCATCCTGGGCCCAACCTCACACCCCAACCACCTCGGCTGGCAGCTCCCACGATACCTGTGGTGGAATCGGCGGCGGCAGCGGCCGCTCTCCCCTCTCCTCACACAGACAATATGGCGGCGGCGGAGGAGGAGACACACGACTCGGCCGCCAGTCGCAGGGACCAGAGCGAGGCTGCAGCCACCCCTGACGGAAGCGGAAGCCCCTTCCTACCGGGAGGCGGGGCGGGGCCGTTTCCGACTCCGCCCCCAGCGGAATCTGGCTGAGTGCGGCCATACTGGAATGTCTAATTGTATCCTTAGAGGTTCAGTTCTCGACAAGGGCACAAAATGGAAGTTCTCAACGTAAAGCTCAATAAAGAGACTTGCAATAATTAAATGCATTTTATTTCGGTGCTTGTAAGAGCTGACGATAGAGAGAACGCGAACCTACCCTTAAGAGAACGATTGGTTTGACCCGAGCCAACATGGCGGTCCCTATGTTTTCCGCACTGCACCCCGCTGGCGAGTCTCACCAAGTCTACGAGCCGGCCCGCCTTCCTTTAAAAGAAGCATGCGCGACCTGCAGAGCCGTAGAGTGAAGCATTTTGGGAATTGAAGTCTCCTGTTCGGGACCCTCGTCTAGGGTTAGGGTTCCAGCAGCACATTTTTTTTCGCTCAAACTTGAAGTTCGGAATGAGCGAACGAAAGTTAGACCCTTAGAGTGGTGTGGCGCAGGAGTCGAGGAGCTGACGATCCAAGCTCTCTAGAGAGAGGCCCAATCTTCCCTCATACAGAAGTCCAATTTAGAGCTGTGCATCCAGAGTAAAGTGTTCTCTCGCATCGGTCTTGCAGTCCCCTTGCCTGGGAAACCTCACCAAAGCAGCCACGGGGCACTTTTTGTCGTGAAAACCTGATCGCGGCGTCCTCTTGATTAAAAATCTCCCAAGGCTCTTCGGTGTGCACCAAAGATAGCCCAGGCTCTTTTGCTGACATCTAAGTCCCTATATAGTTTGGACAACCCACTCACTCCCCTTTCTAGCCTATTCTGCCTCCCTTCCCCACAGCTCCCCAATTCCTGATGCTCCCACCCATTAAAACTGCAAACTATTCCCAAAACTTACCCATGTTGCCTCCCTCCCTATGCACTGGCAATTACTTCTGTTACTCTCACCTCCTGCACTGGTTTACTTTTGTATGTCCATTGAACTAATTCAGGAATTCAGGGGTCTTTTCCTTAGGGGAAACTTCCTTACCTTGAGCTCTCCAGACCTAGGCACTCAACAGCCTGACTGGTCCTTAGCCTGCCTCCTCATCAGACTGTGAACCCCCAGTGGACAGGGCTGGGTTTGATGATAAACCTGTCCCCTGCAGGTCCTACTAAAAGTTAGTGTGTGTAAGTGTTATTGAGAATAATTCAACTGTTAGCCTCACCTCCAGTGGGGCAGAGGTGTGAGTGCTTGGAACAAGGGTGAGGAGGCTGGGTTATTTTGGTACCAGCTATTATCCCTGTGTTGTCTCAGAATAGCTGTCTGGCCTAGGGATGGGCCTCCCCACCCTCTCCAGCTTTCCCTTGGCAGTTTGTCAGCTGACTGGTGCCTCTGTTTCCAAAGAGACAATCTCTTCCCCAGAGGGATGGGGGTGGTAGCAGCTGCAGACATACAATGATGGCCTCAGAGAGGTGGCCATGACCTTTTCTGGGCATCATCTGCCCACTAGGCCTGTGGCATTTGACCCCAAAGGGCTGAGAACCCACAGTAATGGCTGTCTGGGTGTCCACAGGTGGGTCATTCCTCCACTGGCCTTCTATTTCTCTATCTGTGGACTTCACGCTGTTAGACAAGATGATCCCAAGGTTTCTGAGAAACCCCCTTCTAGGAAGTGACTGGCCTTCCACTTAGCTCTTGGACCATGTCTTTCTGGCTCTCATGGCTCCTTTTTTCCCACCTTTGTTCACATTTATTTCAATTCACAGCTATCAATCACTTGCTATGTCCTAAACACCGTGCTAGGTGTTGGAGATGTATGAGCAAGGCAAATACCAGTTCCTCAGGGAGCTCACCTTCTAAAGTGAGAAACAAATAACACAGAGATAAAGCAATTTTAAAAAGTGCTATGTAACAATAAGTAACAATAAATGTTATAAAGGAAAAAGATAAGTAGCTGTGAAAAAGAATAAAAGTGGAGAGAACTTTAGCTTGGGTGGTTCAGAAGGTCCCTATGAGAAGGGAACAATTTAAGTGCAAAAGTCCTGAGGCAGGAAAGAGCTTGATAAAATTTGAGGAAGGAAGCCAGGGTGGCTGAAGCACTGTGAATGAGGGGGAGAGGTAGGAAACATTGCGGGAGAGGTGGGCAGGGATTCTGGCCATGGTCATAAGTCTGGGATTTCATTTGAGAAGAGTGCAGTTATTTCCCAATGCTTAGCCCTTACACCTTTCCTGTGATCCCATCTCTTCCTGCAGGAACCACCCAGTTTCAGCCTCCATCCATGATCTTGTTCAGAGGGCTTACCCAGGCACATACATACAGCCATTTGTATTATGCAGGACACAGTTGAGACCCAACACTGCCATCTCCATGGCCAGCCTGGTAGAAGTCTCTGGTCCTGAGAAGCGCCCAGTCTCCAGTATTCACCTAGGTATGGAGCCTCCAAAGACCAGTCTCTTTAACACTTGCTCTTCCTGACACCCCACATCACAACTCTCAGGCTAGACTTCCTTCAAACAACAAAAACAACATCAACAATCATAGTTAAGATGATGATGGTACTTGCCCTGCGCCACAGACTGAATGTTCATCATCTCATTTACTCCTCACATCGGCCTGATGAGGTAAGAACTAAAAATATCCCATTGTACAGATGAGGAAACTGAAGTTCAGAGCGATTACAGGACACTCACTATACTATACTAAACCTAAATGTATCAGCTTCCTATTCCTGCTTTAATAATCACCCCAAAACAGAGTGGTTTAAACTAACAGTCATTGATTTGTTTATGCTTGTGTGGATTGGTAGCTTGGTTATGTCTCAACTGGGGCAGCTCTTTTCTGCTCTACCTGGTCTTGCCTGGGCGTATTCCCACATTCACATTCAGTTATCAAGTCAGCAAGCCTGCTGGTTCCATGTGGCCTTATTCACATGTCTGGAAGTTGACTGGGCCTGTTGTCTTGAGTGCCTTGGTCCCCTCTGTGTGGCTCCTTCAGCAAGCCAGCTCAGCCTTCCTCACAAGATGGCCTCTCGAAGGGAAAGAATAGAAGCAATAAGGCCTCTGGAGGCCTAAGCCCAGAAATGCTACAGCACCATTTTCACAGCATTTATTTATCAAAGCCCATCGCATGGCTAGCTCAGAGTCAAGGAGAGTAGAAATAGACTCCATCTCTAGATGGAAAAACATCAAAATCATATTGCAAAGAATCATATGTACAGGGATGGGCAGAATCGTGGTCATCTCTGCTAACCATATACCACACTAGGTGACCATGTGTATGGAACTGGAACGATAATTACGGTGCAGTTAGACGTGGAGCTATTAACAGTAAGAGTTCATTTTTTTGAGCACTTAGTATATATAATGTACTATACAAGATGTCTTACGTATATTAACTTATTGAATCCTCACAGCAGCTCTCTATGGCAGGTACATTTTTATCCCCATTTAGAGATTAAGCACACCAAGTATCAGAGAGCTCGAGTGCCTTGGCTCCAGTGAACAACCTGAACAACTGGTGCAAGTCATACAGCTAGTAAGTGGCAAAGCCATTAAAAAGAATAACAATATAATGTCCTGACGCAAGAAGCTGGCCCTGTCATACTGCTGTGTGATTAGAAAGCAAGAGACAAAATGAAAGTTTGGTCAGAACACATTTTAAAGGCACATTAAAATATGGGTAGATGTATAGTGTTAAATAGTTTTAGACATATTCAGGAAGGATTTACCACAAACTATTAATGGAGCTTATCTCTGAAAAAGTGTGTGTGGGGGGATTCTTTAAACACTCTGTCTGCATTGTGAGAATTTGTCCATTTGGATTTTTTTTTATAACGAATATGGATTTTTATCTTGACCTGTCTCTCACCTCTTCCATTTTCTATTTGGTTTTTATGTTTACTTGTCTTTGTTTGTTGGTTTTTCCTTTCTTGACACTGCCCCAGCCCAGTCCCTTATCAATTCTGGCCTGAAGTTTTGTAACTACCTTAGGGGGCCCCTCCTTTGTCCCTCTCCCAGGCATCTTGCCCGCTGCCACTGGAGGAAAGTTTATTAGCCATCATCTTCCTTTCTTGCTCAAGGGTTTTCAGTGGCATTGTATTGCCCTCAGGGGATGTCCACACCCCTTGGCCTGGTGCACATGGCATTTGTAAATTTAACTCCAACTTGAATGGATTCCAGCTTTGTCATTTATTGGCAAACCAGGTATAACCTTGGAGAAGTTATCCAGCTTCTCTGAGCCTTAGTTTCCTCATCTGTTGAAAGAAAAAAAGAAGGGAAGGAAGGAAGGAGAAAAGGAAGGAAAGAAGAAAGGGAGGAAGGGAAGGAAGGAAGGAAGGAAGGAAGGAAGGAAGGAAGGAAGGAAGGAAAGAAGGAAGGGAGGAAGGAAGGAAGGAAAGAAAGAAAGAAAGAAAGAAAGAAAGAAAGAAAGAAAGAAAGAAAGAAAGAAAGAAAGAAAGAGAAAGAGAGAGAGAGAGAGAGAGAAAGAAAGAAAGAAAGAAAGAAAGAAAGAAAGAAAGAAAGAAAGAAAGAAAGAAAGAAAGAAAGAAAAAAAGAAAGAAAGAAAGAAAGAAAGAAAGTAGGCAAAAAAGAAGAGAGGAGATGGATAGCATGATGTGTCTTGTGGCAAATTAATTTACTGTTCATGACTATCACTCTCTCCGCCAACCGGGGCAGTTAATGCTTCCCTACTCCATTGATACAAGGCTTGGCCATGTGATTTGCCTTAGCCAGTGGGAGGCAGATGGAAATGACTGTGCAAGTTGCAGCCTAGGTCTTAAGAGGTCTCTCATGTTCTCACTTGTCCCCTTTGGAATTTCTACTTCTGCCATAAGAGTGGCCCTGTCATTGCTGCATTATGTCTTTTATAACAGAGTCCTAATCAAAGTTTCTGTAGAAAATTTAGGGCTAAGAATTGTTTTGTATCTTTGAGTTTAGTTTGCATTAAATTTTAAGTTGTATTTTTTCTTGCACTCTATCTCTCTTGAATGACAGGAAGCTAAACAGGTAGGAAGAGAATGCTCTA